CGGCGGACGGAATATTATTATCCCCGGCCGGCTCATTGTGCGGGGAGCTCTCTCGCACGAGAAACGTCGAAGGTTTTTTAATTGTGGCACCGCTCTCCTCGAGGACCTCGTTCGCCGGTTCAGCGGCGGGTGGCGAGCGCGCGCCGTTCCATTCGACGTTCGTACGATAAATATATCACAATGTGTGTGTGCGCGCGCGAGCCTTCCTCCTTTTTCCTTCGTACGACCCTCCGTGCGCACGATCGCGTTATAAGAAACTCGCATTTCCGCTGTCAACGCGGCGGACCGTACCGGCGGCGAACAATCGGGCATGGCGCGAGAAAATATTGAAATTCCTTGATAACCGTTCGTTAAGTCCGTTGAACGCCGGCGAAACCTCTCGATTGTTCCGCGGACGGAAACCGGCGGTGGAAAAGCGTTATACACGCAGCTACGTTCGTATAATCGGTCGCGCGCGATTTATTTCCTTACTTATTCCGAGTTTTTCCTGTTTCGTTACTGTTCGAGAAAGGACAGCCGCGAGAATGGCCGCGGCTCGCGTTCCATTGAAACCGTTTGAATGTCATTTACGCGGACGGTTATTCCGCCGATTATTTTTCGTATAATTCCGCGGCCGCGTTTTCAAAGCAGCAACGGCGCGCGCGGGGGGCGGCGGGGCGGGGAAAGAATGAAACGTCCTTCGGACGGGATATTGTTCTAAGTCGCGGCTGGGGGTTGGAAAGTTCTTGGCCGCGGAACAAATTCGCAAGCGCGCGCGCGGTTCTCCTTTTCAGCGGGTCGAAAATAATTGTCGTTCATCGTTGCTGGAACACCGCGGAGGAAGTTCACCGGGCGGAATTCGCGCGAGAATAAGGCGGCCGGCTTTGTTCGAAATGGGAAAGGCTTGTTTTTCGCGACGAAGGCGTCGAAGGCGACTTCGGCCGGGGGCCGAATGGCATCTCGCCGACTTTTCCGCGCCGCTCTCGCAGCCGGGTCCGTTCGAATGCGGCGCGAAACAATCGGCCGCCACCGATGCCAATGAGACTTATCCCTTGATAAATGTTGAATCCTTTGTGCCGCCCCGCAGGGTAACTAAGTGGATTTCTTAATTATTTAGTTCCCAAGTTTCCGGGGGCGACTCCTTCTCGCCGCGGGGGTTGGAAAGTTTGGACTGGGGTGTCGTGTGTCCAATGGGACACGTTGGGATTTCCTTGGTCGCGTGGAAGAATTTTTCGTTGAGCTTGATGCTTGATCAGCTAATTGAATGACAGATATTTGGGGAATATTCAAGCAGACATTTAATATTTGTTCATTGAAATGTGGAGATCATTCACGTAAAGTTGAAAGTTCGATACTGGAGCATTTATCATGAATTTGTAATGGTTTAAACATTTGATTCGCAGATCAACTGGTTTATTGAACATTTTACACGGAGTATCGAAGTTACGTCACCGATAACGTGGCAATAATTTCTTTGCGAGACGGTGTTACAAAGTAATAATTTCTCGTGAAATTCCAGCACAATGCGCACCTATTACAAATTGTTATAGATTGTTTGGTCGCTGCAAGGAAAGCCCGAAGGCAGACTTCAGCCGCGCGAAAGGGGTGGCGGAGCACGTGGCTGCGTTGCCTATTCCCCATTTTTCAATCAATCTGACCCGCATCCGAATGGCTTCCGGTTTTCCGCGAAGCGAACCGCTCAAAGCACCCTTCCGCGTGACGGCCTCAAAGAAACTTAATTAACTAACGATCGAGCACGGAGGCTGAAATCCCGGGGCTCGTTACGATCGGCGACAAATACAAATGATTCGCGTCGCCGTGTGACTTCGCCGAGCGATGGGGGCGAGGGGATGAAAATCGAATTTCTAGTTTTATAATTTATTTCGACATATTCAAACAAGTCGATTCAATTTATATATTTCCATACAATCCATACAATTACATTAAAAATATTCATTCAATTATTCTCCTACATTAATACGAATGTCCAACAATTTTCCAAGTTCTAGCTCAAATATCCAATTCCTCCTACTTCGTAATTACCTACTTCTATTTTAATAAATTTCTATTAACGTCAACAGAAATCGAAACGTCTCCCGATCCTTCAAACAGCATTGTCACATTGACAGCGCAACCGTACGCCTCCGTACTGGATGAAGCATATGTTACCATCCGCAATTCCAGCAACAATCGCAAACAACGCGCCGAAACGATGGGCCCTGGCTGTTTCCCTCGGCCAAATGTCGAGCACGGACGAGTGCTTTCAAGATGGATCAAACGACGAGGACGTGCACAAAGAACGAGACTTTAATAATGCAACCGAGTCAAGAGGAAACGAATTCACGGGGCCCCGCGTGTTCTTGGGTTTTTCGGTGCGCGGTGCTCGATATCGACGCCACGGTGATGGCACTTTTCCATTTACGGCCGCGAGACGTCGAGCACCGACCGGCGAAAACAGTTAAGTGCATTATATCATCGGGGGGACGAGCGAGCGTTGCCGGGCCCTGAGAGCGGACATTGTTTCAACCCGTTCGACGAAAACAATGGGAACCGGGGAATCGAGTGGCGGGTTTAGGTAGTACCTGGCCGTGCGTGCTGTGGCGTACGTTGAAACACTTTTGCGTGCCAGTCAGCGCCGACAATGATCTTGTTAAAGAGGCCTGACCGGCCCACTTTGCCACGATAATGCCTTTCTTCCCAACCTCTTTCTATTTTTTCTTTCTTTACCCGCGCCACTCGAAACGATTGTTTCTCGCCAGCCGGAGCTTCGGTTTGTCAGTTTCTCCTTTTGACTCTCTTTATTTCTTTTTTGCCTCGCGAGGCATCGAGTGCTGGTAACGGATGTTGGTCGTTGGGGTTGATCGGGAAGGGTAACCGTGACTTCTGGCTTTCATTTGTATCTTTGACACTCTTGGGGTTGTGTTCTGGGCGATTGTTGATAGCTACCATTCGTTTGGAATGAAGCAATGACTACCTTGTGGTCTACGTAAGTTCTATAAACAGTTGTCATTGAATCATAGCGTGTTGAATGTTCTAACAGTTACGATTAAATAGAAGTCTTCGTTTCTTACGAATGCTTGTATAATTCTAGATTCTACCTCGGACAATTGCGGAATCTACAGAACGACTGATTCTCAAAATCTAAAGTTATTAATTTACCTGTAAAGCCCTTTCATATGTGAAACGAGTTTCATAGCCAACCCTCCACCCTTAAATGAAGTTTTCTTAAAACATCTATGCATACAACGAACCACTCAACGTTCGAACGTTTCCCCCCTAAGGTACCGTTTCCTCTGAAGCAGTCACAAGGAAAAAGGATCCCACATCTCTCAACTCTTCGCTCGCATTGCTTTCGGGTGCACCCGAGAACACTCGAGCCAGTTATTCGATCGCCAATCCCAAATGACACCTTGCCGAACTCCAGGCTCTCATTCAGATTTCCCATGGGCCGGAGGAAACAGCGTCGGCCGGGAAGCCATTTGAAAGGCGAGCCGTGACTAAAGGGCGGTCAAGAAGTCCGACCGGAAGCGGGTCGCATAAAGGCGGGTTCGCGCCCCGGTTTATCGGTACGCGAGAACGCGTAGGGCCCCGCTCGTAATGGCGAGGTACGCGTCAAGAGGAAGGAACGAGAGCGCGCGCACCCTGCCGAGGAGACGGGCCAACAGAGCCAGCGGGGTTCCTTAGGGTGGATGGGAGAAAAAACGAGTAAAAAGGTCCCCGCCGCCGATACAATTGGTCTCTAAACAGAGGGTAGTTATAGCGAAACGCGGTGCGCCCGTTGGGGTGACACGGCCGGCCGGCGATCTCCTCCTCCTTTGTCTCTCTCTCTCTCGTTCTGATTCTCCTCGGTTTGCTCCTTCTCGCGTTTGGTTGCGTTCTATGAAAGCGAAAGGGTGGTCACCTTCGAGCGCAATTTGGGGTGAAAGTTTTCAATGCACCGATCGAGAACGCGCTTGGCCGCATAGAGGAAGATGTGAAAGGTCGAAGAGAGAGAGACAGAGAGAGAGAGAGAGATAGGATGTAGATGGTAGAAGAGGAAGAGAGAGGAATGGAGGAATAGAAGGTAGAAGAGAGGAAGGTAGAAGGATGAAGGTTTGAAGAGAGATGGAAATAGAAGAATTAGGTTGGAGAGAGTAAGACGGAGGGATGAAGAGTTGAAGAGAGAAGATGGAAATAGAAAAAATGTAAAGTACGAAAGAAGAAGATGGAGAAACGAAGAGTTAAAGGGAGAGAAGATAGAAATTTAAAGTATAAGAGAGTAACTGAGAAAAATAGAGGATCGAAGTGAGAGAGAAAGAATCGAAGATTTGAAGGGAGAGACAGAACGAAGAACAAGGAGAGGGTTAAGGAAACAGAAAGAGAATGAGCGAATAGAAGGTTAGAGGAAAAGGGAGAGGAAAAGAAGCAGTGCATTGAAGAAAGAAAGAGAGAAAAGAAAATCCTACGTCGAAGGGTGCAAGCAACGAAAGAGGTGTCGTTTGACGAGAACCTGACGTCCCCGGTTCTGCCTTCTCCTTTCAATTCTTTTTCTCCCCGTTCACCTCTGCGATGGGTGGCCGCAGGACCATTCAATGGCCGCCGGCTTCTCCGATGTCGCAAGGAAATTCGAGGTTACGAATCTCGGTCTGGGGAGTCCGCGATTCTCGCGTCTCCCGCCATTGTCCCGATCAGCCGGCTGCGCTGTTTTCTGCCGTGCGAAAACGTTCGATGGACCCTGATCCTTCTAGGCCGCAGATTCGTCGGTTGCCAGACTTTCGCTGGATTGATCCCCGGGTATCGAGCTGTGACCGTGGTCCGATTATAGAGAAATTCGTTCTCTATAGGGTTGAAATGTTTTCTCGGTAACAATCGATGATTTTGATAAGGGTGGCTCGATGTGTTAGGGTGAAAAAGGGATTAATATCGCAGCTTGATATTTTTCTTTTCTTCTTCTTCTCCTTCTAACGGTTCGTACGGTGAAATTTGTAACAACGGCGGTTGGCAATAATGAATACAGGTAGATTAATGAAATTCATAGAGTCATTTATTATTTCGATTCGTTGATAATAATAAATATATGCACATATACGATAAGAGACATTGTTCCTTCATCCCCTTGTGTTCTCTGGGCCCGATGATCTCGCGACGAACGTCTTTAGAATAATAATCGAATTGCAAGTGATCGTTCAACGACTTACCGAATGATGAAACCAGAGATAACAATTTTTATTATATAACAAACGGAATGTACAGGTTTGGCTGGTTAAGGTTTACGAATTACGCGGAACGAACTCACGTGCACGTCGCCCTCGTTTTCCTGCGACAGGGACTACCTGCACGTAAAATACCGGTATTACACCTTTATAATTACATAAGCAGATCACTGTGTTTAACAAGTATTACACGTCATCTTGGAAATCAAAGTAATACAGATCCTTTCTACAATCATTTACTTTTCCCGATGAACACGTAATTCTTGTTTATTCGCTCCACAGTTTTGTTTTAATGCGTATTCGGTGGATTTGTTCTACGTTCGACGCGTACACTCGTCATTCCATGGCTTTATTGTACCGTTCAAGAGAGATTTTTTAAACTAAATTCCACCGTTGACTAGTCAATCTTCATCGTAATACATCTAGACGAAACGTAAAAATAACGGTATTCATTTCGATTTTCGGTGTCGTATCGGTTTTTTATAGCTTTTGGTGTCTTATACCGGTATTAATACATGTTATTTCGGTTCTAACTTACAGGCTTAATATCGGTATCAAAATCACACCGGTATTAACATTAAAACTACCGAGCAATCAAATTGATTTTCTCAAACTTTCCTATAGAAACTCTAAGAGCACGTCTATTGAGATTTCTTTGAATTTACAATTGAGATTGCGTATTCCGAAATTAATCTTCAGTAAGTTCTCAGAGAATCGTCTGTTATCTTTTCAATAATCGTAAGAAATCAGGAATTGTTGGTTTTGATCTGTCTAGTAGTTCTAATGTTACGTCCCTGCCTTACGGGCTGGCGCCTCGCTGACATTCACATTACATTCAATGTTGAAAAGAACAAGGAGGGAGAATCGGTATTAACCAAAGATATTCGTCGGATGCAACCGTCCACCATAAATAACCCTATACACGGTGCGACTATTTAGCGTGTGTGCTCCAAGACGTTACTTACAACAAGAGGTACGAGTGTTTTAAACCTACGGAAACGACACGTACACGTGATTGGCCGTGTTCCACGTGGGAGCAACCCTTGGTAAAAACTACTGAATCGATTCGTCGACCGCATCGCGGGGAAAAGGTGCGTTTATAATCCATATATGTACATCGAAAATGGAGGAGATTTCGGAGGAGAATCACAGACATAAACCATTGATATTTCAACGAAATATTAACTTCAGTATAAACATTTTATTTGATTTGTCATGGGTGAGAAAGTAACAATAATATTTTCATGCGTCCGCAACCAGCGTTTTCAACCGGCTATCTTACTGACTACGATATTTCTATAACTTAACGAATTATCTTTATAATCTAGAATGTCTTGTCTGTTATTTTGTAAAAAAATAACTAAATAATAATGAGCGTTGCCGATGCGTGACACTGGTCGCGAACGTGTTGAGTAACGAATAAAATTGAATTTCTTATAATACATAATTGGAATTTCATTTTCTCCCAACTGTAACAATGCTTGACGTAACAAACAAAGTTATCGTATATTCGATCATACTTGTGTACACCTATATGTTCAACTTACTTCTAAACGAACACTTCCCGCTAAGGTAACACACTAACTCGTTAAGCAACAAAGCAGACCGAAATCAGAACGCGCGCACGAACGTTTCAACTTATATCTAATTCAACACTTTCTAGCAAGGGTTGCCCCCGCAAGGACCGCGCTTACGACTTAACGAAATCACAGTTAACGGCATGGCCCGTATACAATCGGACCGCGACGACGAAAATACTTATCGAGAAGAGCTTAGTAAAATATCGTTGCGATCAACAAATAGAAAATACTTCGAGAAATTGACCTCATTCGATTGCACGTACTATCGACTTATATACACACGTACTTATACACATATATTCATAATATACACATAATCGAGTCCACATTCGCTTTCTCAATGAAAAAGTCGTTGCCCCAACACCATACTCAGAGACGAGCCATTGTTTCCAATGGCTTTTAACTCCATCCACAGATGTGAATCCCAATTCTGACGATAACGTTCCCTCGGAAATTGATTTCCAACGAACCTCGCGTCGCTCTGACAAATGTCCAATGTTTCCAGGTATATAAGCGGAACGTCGAGAAATCATCCGCAATGAACGCTTGTCATAGAACTAGCCGTGTAAGCCTCGAACGAATCTTACGTTACTGGATCGAAATTTCTTTACTCTTACAGTTAAAATTCTTCTATATTTGTTTTTTACGAATCGACGGCTGAGAACCTTTCGAAACAGATCTCCCTTTGCATTCGTAAGTAGCTTTCGGGTGTTAAGTACTTAGGAAACGAGTAGTTTTTGATTGGCCAACTGAACAATTAAAAACTACTGGTGATTACTGATCCGGAACATAAACCAGATACCTGTATAAAGACGGTCTCCCTAGGCACACACCGGTATCAGTGTGTCTTTAACCCCTGACGAAGCCAGTTGTAACGATGGCGAAACGTTGGGAACGAATTCCTATTGGACACGGTTCTCACCCGAAAGCCACTCACGAATGCAATATTCCAGGCCGTGAAAGCATTAAAGCTAATGTCTTCCTTTGCTAATCGAGTCCGCTGGAACTGCGACGAATGAATCCTTCGAACTATTTCTTATTAACCGCAAGAAAATCTACTCCCGGGACGGCCGGAAACCACGAGGACGATGCGGTGACCGTCGATTCGCGAGGAAAAAGGGTTCGGTTTGCTGAAAGTGTCGGTTAACTGTTCTTCCCATGGTTTCGCGCTGGCGAATGCGCGCTACTCCGAAGTCCTGCGTCCCTGGACGAAATGCTCGCTCGCTGAGGACGGATCTCTCCGGAGATTTTCGCTCGTGATCTGGCCACTCGGATTCATGTTCCCGGAACTCGACGGTCTCGCTTGACGAACGAGCGAAATCTGTCGCGTTGCCTGTGTTCAGCGCTGTTCAGAAGAAAATTCGTTATGTTTTATTTATGGTTTCGACTGTGTGGAAGTTAAGATTGAAAATCAAGATAAGACGATAGCTGGTCGATTAACACTAACCGTACCGGCACTTTTCTTACTAGTCAAATGACTGGCTACAAAGTAGAGACAAGCGAGTTACATGAGAAATTTCTTTTAGTGGAAAGAGAAGCAAAAGGAAGAATGAAAAGGGAGAAACCAATTAATCGGATAATGTGGGAATTGATATGAAATTAAACGAACGGAAGAGAACGCAGGATTTTCAATCTGGTCATTTGATCGGTTCCCGATACGGTTAGTGTTAAGCTGGCAACTTTTTTAAGGTACTTCTCCTGAAGAACGCTGAAAACAGTTCATACAGTAACTTCTCAGTTTGGTGGTGATCGACCAAAACGTGAGGAGCCTACCGTAGATATACAGTCACATATCTTCATGGCGATTACGTTAAAAAGATAAGTATAACAGTTCCATCCTCGACGCACAGTTGAAGGGAACGGAAACTCGATAAGTGATACTTGAATCACAACTACAAGTTCCTCGATACTATTTCCACCGAAGGTGTCACGAGACACCTGTCGAAATTTCAACTTAAAATGATTTCCTCGGTTAATCGTTTTTCTTCAATTACATTTTGGACATTTCCTATACTCAATTTTGCAATCGTTATTGGGAAAGTCGAAAAATGAGAATATACGATTAAGCTTGGGAAATAATTATAACTTAAAATTTCCAAAGACGTCTGTTGACACCTTCGGTAGAAATCGCGTTGAAGAACTTGCAATTATGATTTGCGTCAAGTTTGAGACGGTGAACTAAAAGTAATAGTAATAGTAAGACTAAAAGTAAGAACGTGAAGAAAACAAATGAAAGAAATCGGTGTTTTCCTCGTAACAATTCTTCACGTTGACCGAAATAATTTCATTAACATCTGCGCCAACAAGATAGATGTACCAATATATCATATTCGATATGAGAATCAGCTGAAGATGCGTCGTCAGAATTATTGAATTTCGAAGATACGATATACTCGTCCAATGTAAGGACAGCTGAATGATCGTGAACGTTGCCGTGCACGAGCCAAACAAGATTTCGCGGAGACCAGACACACGCCGTCCTGCAAAAAACCGTCCCACCTAGAACCGAGCGGACCGGCTCGGTTTGGTGCTTAACCTACGCGGATTGTATATTACGAACTATTTACATTCGTGGAAACGGTGTTATTAAAACGAACGGTAACGACACGCTCGAGAACCACGTAACAACGTACGAACGTAGCGCGAGCAAGATCTTCGGGGCAGAGGGGCCCGGTAGACGACGCCACGTGGGTGCGAGTCGAAATCAAAGGAATCACGAACAATAGATCGTAATGTGTACACCGGAAGACAACGTAAGAGCTACACAAACATAAAGAACTAATTGAAAAAGAACCTCCAAAAAAGAATAACCGGCGAACGTGAATTATTCCGAATCTCTAACACATTGCCACGTCGCTGGAACTCGAGTGATATCATTTTGTAAATCTAAACGTTAACTTTCTCGGCATTCGTCGAGTCGTAAAAAAGTCCGTTGATCCTTTAGTTGACGGCCAAATCGTTAAGTTGCTCTAAGAGGAGAATTACTTGGCGCCACAGGATTTCGGCGACCTGTGTCACGCGATAGGTAAAACATTATTTGGAAAACATTATTCGGAAACCTCACCTCATCCCTTTACACGTCGCTGTACAGGGTGTGCAGGGGTACGCGGTCTATTCACGGGGCAACGTGGCGCACAATGAAGATCCCCCTGTTCAATAAAAGCAAAACGAATCCCGGGGCCTAAACGGCTCTTTTGTTCCAACGCATTAATATGCTAATTCAATTATCCGCGTGGCTGCCGCGGCAAGCCTTCCTCGAACGCCGGTCGATCCGCAATCGGCCCGGCCCTCGGCATTCGAAAATCTCACCTACGCCTGCCCCTCCTTCTTCTCTTTATCCACCCGGCAGCCCCCTGCCCGCCAGTTTCGTCAATGAAAAATGAATTGTCTTTCTAGAATACAAGAGAAATTCAGATTCAGACGGTTCAGAAGATTCGAGAGATCTTCCGACAATTGCAATTGTAACACCGTGCGGTACAATGTTCGATGCAACTGGAGAACAATGAGCGTTGCAGATGCGTGACGCTGGCAAGTTGACCGCCAGTTTGGTCAATGAAAAAAGAATTGTCTTTCTATGATACAAGAGAAATTCAGATTCAGAAGATTCAAAAGAATGTTGCGACAATTGCAATTAAAACACCGTGCGGTACAATTTTCGGTACAACTAGAACATAATGAATGCGGATGCATGACGCCGGCAACCCCCTGCCCCTTAGTCAATGAAAAATGAAATTGTCTCGTATCCAATACGCATGGATACGCGTCTTCAGCTCTTACGTCCGTTGCTCTTGAGCCGATAAATTAATGAATGTACGTCGTCGAGCGCTGAAAGAGCACACACGTTTCACGGTAGATCACATTAGACGACGTCAACTTCTCGTCGACGAACCGAACGTAATGTTCAAGTTTGCGTGTGATTTGAATTCGAAACAGTTGGAACGTTTCTCCCTTTAGCTTGTGTTTGGTTTGTATACTTCGACATGCACTTGCATTTTCAAACCGATACTCAGGATATAGAACAGTTGGATGAAACGCGGAGCCGAGATCAGGCATTAGTCTGATATTTCACGTTCGAAATTTCAGTTCTCAGTATTTGTACACAAGCCAATGAGAACCACCCGCTGACAATGTATCTGTACGGAACACACATCAGCGTTATCCAAGCCTACGTCCGCGAAGGTTAATTCCAAAACCGGCGCGATGTCCTTACTTACAATAATTCTTGTCCCTAATATAGATTCGCGAGAACCATGGACGAATACCCGATCCACGGTGTTTACACCGTCAGTCAAAATGACTCACCAATCCGGGCCACTTAGCTTGAAAACCTATTCGGATAGCGCCTAAAATATCACGGGCACGGGTCGGCGTAGTTGTTCCAGATCTAAGGTGCTAGACGTTGACGGTACGACTTGTTGAAGCGAAGAGGGGATCGGAGTGGTGCCGGGGCTGCTGCCTGGGCTGCTGGTAGTGGTGATGATGCTGTTTGACCCGGTGGCAGACGAAGGTGGGAAGATGATGGGTGGATGTTGCCCTGTACCAGCGGCCGTGTGATGTCCAGTGGAGAACAGTGGTCCCAGGTGGGATGCCGTGCTGGGGTACGGCTTACCTGTTGTCGTTGGCGATGAGTAGAAACCAGAGTAGAAGCTACTGACAACCGCGGCGGCGGAAGCCGCGTTGTTGTTCGCAGCGTCGGCTGCCGCGGCGACAGCGGCCACGGCCGCGTTCGACGATGTTGAGCTTGTTCCGCTGTTACCAGCCACCAGCTTGCTCAAGTGCACAGCGTCGAAGGCAGAGCCGAAATAAGGTGGCATGGGCGGGTAGTCTAGGGGATGCGGATGATGATGGTGATGGCTAACTGGAGCAGCTGGCGCTGCGAAGTACGGTGGTAGCGGGAAGCTCGGGAAACCACCTGGACTAATTGGGCCAGACTTGCCGGATACCGGAGAGACAGGTACTTTGGGCTTCCTCCGAGGCCTGTATTTATAATCTGGATGCTCCTTCATGTGCATCGCTCGTAGTCTCTTCGCTTCGTCTATAAAAGGACGTTTCTCAGAGTCAGACAGCAGCTTCCACTCGGCTCCCAATCTCTTCGAGATTTCGGAGTTGTGCATTTTCGGATTATCCAGGGCAATCTTCTTACGCTGAATCCTAGACCACACCATGAAGGCATTCATAGGTCGTTTGATGTGTTGCTCCTGGCAGGCCTGTTGATTTGCCAGATTCATGTCCTGGCCCACGTGGTGCATGGAGTGGAACCCGTCCATGCCGGAGAGGAACCCGTAGCCCGGGTGCTGCTGGTGGGGGCCCATCATGGTCACTTGGCCCGGCCGCGAACTGATCAGCGATGAAGACCGCCGGTTCCCGATATGGATCCGATTATCACCTTTTTGATTATGTCTCTGTAAATGTCATGCACCGTTGAACAGACACTCGCGCGCGCGACGACAGTTCCCTTGAATTCCTTCAACCGTTCGAGGATATTTTCAGTCTTCAGCTGGTACGACCGGAAATACACAGTGACATTGACAGGTAAACAAATAGCACCAAATTAAAACTGCTAATGACGCGGACGAGCGTGGCTAGGCGTGAGAGCGCGGTAAACAGTACAACGTTCTCGAATGAAGTGTCGGTGTCGACTGAGCGTGGATTATACGTAGGACCGGTCTACGATCTGCTCGAGGGACCCATTGCTCCTCTCATTCACTCGTTCACTCGTGTACTCAACGCACGTCTCTCTCTCGGCGAGAATTTTGAGGGCGGAACCGACGCAGAACGTCGTATGCCGCGCCCACGAACCGACCCTCTTCACGCTATTCGTCGAGATCCCTCGGCATACGCTCACCTTTTCTACCCTTTCTCCCCCCACTGAGCGGTGCCTGCACACCGACCAGAAACAGCAACCCCTGTGTGCCACACGGAGACTGAGGAGGGTTGTTGCTGGCTGCTGCCGCTGCTGCTGCTGCTGCTGCTGCTGCTGCTGTCGCCGCCGTTGCTAGCTCGGAGACCGCGAGGCTGCAATTATTATTATCGATTACCTCGATACGATGAAGTACAAATAGCGTATAGGCAACCCGTTATTGACTAGCTCTCTGTTCCCGGCACTGACGCGCACACCGACGACGCCGCGATATCGCGCGATAATTGGTTACGCTCCCCGCTACCCCCGGGCTTCGCGCTCCCCTTCCTGCGACGGAGACTGTTGGTCAACCAGATTTTCTTTCTGAGCTGTGTCGGTCGAACTTTCGTTCTTCGATGGAAATTGGTGTTTTTTTGCAGATCGATTGGAGCAAAGTATTTTTGAATAGTTTATTAGAATTGATTTGTCTTATAGATTTAGGATAATTGCTGTCTCTTAGAGACTTTCGTTTTAATTTATTAAAGGATTGCTGGTGGTTTAAGAGTAGTTTGTGGAAAGATAGAATACAGTAGTACTTGGACTTAGGGCGTTCTAGTTTGAAATTGGTATCTCGAAATCTGGTTTTCATTTACTAGCTGGGATTATAAAAGCATCACGGTTCGTTTCTCGAAATTGAGTTCGTATGTAAAAGTCAAAGTGGAGTACGAAACGTCGATGTGCCATTGTACTTTATCGTTTGGTTAATTGTAATTCAAATTACAACAATGCTCCGTTATTATAACATTGCAACTACATCGTCGTCGTTGTTCGGCTATTTTATCTCTCGTTATTATTATAGTTCATTCACAGGGTCGGTAAAGGAAGTTTCATTTTCGTCCCAACCCCAGAGAGTCTCATAAGCTTTACCATTTCAGCAGCATCTCGCAACTGGTTAGTGTAAGATCGTTTAGCCAAATCACATGCTAGAGTCGTAAATGCTTGTAAAAATGGGCTTACCTCTGTAACAACTAAAATCCAGATTTTTTACAACCAGGGATTACGATGGTTTAAAAAATGGCTGTAAAATCGTTATGTTTAGCTTTCACTTGAAACGGATATGGATTACGGAAATAAACTCATAACTGGTACCAAGTACTTTCCTAAGTTTCTTTTCTGGATCACAGTTCCGAAAGAAATACAGAAAAATATCAGTTATAGAAACAATACAGATACAATGTCTGTTCCGAGAACGTATACATATCTATCTAATACCAGTTATTTTTTTTGCTCCTCGATAACTCTTCCAAGAACCGAGATCGTTATAACAACTCTTTTCAACCCCTGCCCACATCTGTCATCTTCCCTGCAAAGGACAATAGTTCTACATTCCACTGTTATCTCCGCGAAGTAGCAGACTTTCAAGGAAGATCGCTCGATGAAGGAACCAATCGCGATGAAAACTCAACGATCAGACGCAACGACGAAACAGGGGGATGATCGACACCGTTTTCTAGGGAGTTGACTAATCCGCGGCTCGTTCCCGTCGAGTAATTAATCAGAAATTCGCATGTCGGCCCGGCCGCGTTCGTCCTCGTCTCCCTGCCATCGCGAAACAATAAGGGGTTGAAATCTGCCGGTTCCTTTCCTGTGGGAAATCTGTGGAACAATGCAAAAAAATCTCTCAACGACTGGCACTTGGATTAGAATGGAAAGCAACAGCGGCGAAAGGAGCGAGCGGTGCCCCTTTCCCAATCTCGACTCGCCACGCCCTCGACTCCCAAAGGACATTCAGCAATGCGAACGAATAAAAGCTTTCTCTGTCGGTGAACTGCATTAGTCGTTTGTGCCTTTGTGTCGCGGGAGGCGCGCTCGCCGTGCCGCGGTGTCTCCTTACTTCGATTTTCAAATAATCGATTAAGCCTCCCGCGTTTTCGAGCGGAGCACGCCGAGCTCTGCCGGCCGGGCGACGTCCTTGTTCCGTTATCCTTGAATTATTTCGGAAAGGGGTGGCTTTCTTATAACCGCTTGCAAACGCTACTCGCATCGCGGACGTTCGTTTGTTCGTAATCTTTCGTATTCGTCTTCCTTCGTTACATTCTTTTCCTCTCTCCACTTCACTCTTCATTTTTCGAGATTATATTATATTATTGCAATTTCCTTGGCTATTGTAATTTATACAGTACTATGGTTTTATTCAATGCCTTTCTTAAGCGCCAAATGACTATTGTGGGATCGGGTTTCTGACTGCAGTCAAATTAATCTGTAGATTGTTATACCGCGAATTTGCTACGTTTAACAGTATTGTAACGTTGGTTGTGGGATAAGTACTGTCGGGAGTAGAAATTGTTGAAAATTTTATTTACTCTGTTTTCTTGGTTCATTCTCCTCTAGATCCTTTCGGAAATCGCTTCGTAATTCTCGTTTTTCATGACCCACAATGGGCACGTATATTACCACAAATTACGCACACACACGCGTGCGCGAACCGTCTCCGCTGTTATCGTACTCGCTTGTTCCTCCCTCTGACACCCTTGTTCACCGCATGATTTACTCGTTGCCTGTTGACAATTAGGTAGAGTTCACCTTCGGGACGGTTCACTCGTCGATGGCGTCTAACGGCTTGAATTTCTACAATAATAACTACAAATAATTATAATGTCTCTAGGGTATGAGTCAAAAAACTTTCTGCGTTTACCGTCCTCATCTAATCACTCCTACACTATTACTATTCCTATTGCCACTGATAGAAGCAATATCAAGCTGAATAATTCTATTACCATCAAATACCGAACCCACATAATTAACGTTATTTCCATCGAAAGCCCGAAACTATAAAATAAACAGCCACAATTCTACTTGGAATTTCGAATTTCACTACTTAATCCGTGCACCTACCAATCATTTCCCGAGGCGACATAAAATATCCCCCTTTGAACCAATTACTACTAAAATCCATTCCCATTTAAAGGCTCGATTCCCCGTCGCTCGCGGAGGCAGCGGGGCGTCCGGCGGGGTGGAGTGGCCGGGTGTCTCGACGCCAATAAGAGAACGGTAAACAGAGGGAGGAAGCGATTCGAAGCGCGAAAAAGAGGGGAAAACTCGGAGCGCCGGACTCTTCCGGCTCGCCGAGGAAAAACTCAGCTAGACGGTCGCCATTCCGTCGGCCCCGTATATCCCGGCGAATAACCATGCCGGTCCGAGCACGGACCCGTAGAGCCTGCCCGTTCCTCTGTGTATGCAGTTGGGTGCAAATTGGTATTGAAAAATCTCGAAGTCAATTAAAACTCGCGATACAAAGGATTCGGCGAGACAAAATACCAATTATCTCATGTCCTCCGTCTATGCCGTCCCTTCGGCGCGCCCCGCCTCGCCTCTCCCGCCGTACGCGGGGCGGGGAACGGTGACTCGGTGGGACGAGCGCGGGGGCGGAGGCTGAGAGGGCGCTTACAAGAACTCAATTCCATTAAGCATTGAAGTGAGTAAAACGAGGCAGCTCAGCGTGGATGGGCATCTATATAACGCAGCCTCGCATCTCGGTTATCTACCTAATAAAGGTTCGACTGCTGCCCCTCGCGCCACCCTTCTCTCACTGTCTCCCTTTCTATTTCTCTCTCTCTCTCTCTCTCTCTCTCTCTCTTTGCTACCCCCTAACGACATAAAGCATGTGCCGGTGAGGTGTCTGTGAGACAATCCCCCGGGATGACAATGCTTATCCCACGTATGAATGCCGGCGATGCTTCCTAGGTAATTTAAGTATAGCCACCGATCCGCCCCCGCTCGCTCCGCCCCGCGGTTCTCTTTTCAACGCCTTGCCATCCACCTTCGACCTATTCGAGGAGAGCTGCGTATCTTCGGCCGTGCACGTATGAAAACGCCCGTTGTCCTCGTTTAATGATTGCCCTCAGCGACGAAATCTTTTCGAGAGAGCAACCCCCACACCCCCTTTCCCGCTTGCCCGGCGAATTTCGAATGAGACCGGGATCCGTCTGGGGAATCTCCGATGTTCTCGCGCCCTATCGAGCTATTGCCAAGGTCGATCTCTATGGAAGCGCCGCGAGAATCGCCAGCGAACAATGCTGAGGCCCTTTGTCTCGCCGGAGATTACGATTTCGAGAGCGCGCTCGCGCGCCTCTGCTCCGCTGATACTTCCTTTTCTTCCCGGGTTTTGTTCACCGGGTTTTTGTGCGCCCTTTGGCCCGCGATATTGCGTGGCAGTGGAGCACTGAACGGGAACGGTTCGGTCGGGGCAGTTTGAAGCTTCATCGGATACGCGATGAGTAGACGAATGTCGATCGAATGATTAATCGAATCGCCGGCAATTAGTCGAATTCGCGGAATGAATCGCGCGGAGGGCTCACGGGAAGACGGTCCGCCGGCGACCGGCGAAGTTTCGAGAACTTTGCGCGCACGCAGTTCGAGCAGGTGATGTGACTGTCGGGGGTGAGTTATTGGTTACATATTGGGCGACTTGGGATTTCAGGAATCGTGACGGGACAAACATTAGTATTCTTTGTAAATGTGTTTAGATTATGAATTATACATCTGTGCAATTTCATAATTTTCATATTATAATATCTGCGAAATCTTTTCTTGTTGAAATGAATCGGATATCTCTGATTTTTCAGTATTTCGCTTATAAAACGAAGATTTTTCAGTTTTTAAGCAATTTCTTTTGCCGATATCGAAGCCATTAATAAAAAAATCCGTGAAAAATATGTTGGTTCTAAGTTTCAAACTTTATCATAAATTTAACTAGTTTATCACTGTTGAATCTGAACCGATCCGATTCGCCCCGGTCTACCCATAACGTTACGATCGTCTCGTTATAATCACAATAATCACCGACCACGTACACATATTGAATCCAAAGCTCACAGAGTCAGCTCTAAAACAATACCCACGTAGCCCAATCACGAACACTCCACGAAAACGACGACAAACAATTGCAAACGTTTCGAATAATCCAACAACTCTCGCAAACCCTCCACGACGCGATGAAAAAATAGGGGATGGTGATGCGATTGACTTCGACAAGGTGTCCCCTAGCCGCAAATCGGATCCGAAACGAAGACG